AGCTAGAAGTCCATTTCAATCAGCCCTCCCAGATCTCAAATGAAGAAGAAGAAAAAAAGTGAAATAAATCTTATTTATTTCTCTGCCTTCAGGAGGCCTCAAAGAGAAATGGATTTCTGGATCGATTTGCCCGAGACACAAAATACAAAACCTTGTTTTTGCAGACACCTGCAGAGCATCCTCAACTTACGACCATAAGGGAACCTGTCATGCCCCTGTTGGAGTCTGACTCCAAGGGAGAAATGGAACAGCTGGCAGGGAGTGGGAGTGTGGCTCGGGTGGTTGTGGAGGAAACCGGGGAAGGGCACAGGCCGGCTGGGCATTCAGAGGAAGACCCAGGCCCATCCCCTCTTCATCCTGGGGCACGCAGGGAGGAATGGATAAGGGAGAAATGTGAGTGGCGTAGTCTACAGGGGAGGAAGGGGCCCTGATCCCCTTCATGGGCTGCAGCTGGGAGGACTGGTTAAAAGGACAAACTGCGCATGGCAAAGGTGCTGGAAGCCAAGCGTGCATTATTCTTTTCGGAGATTATCTGTGTTTTGGCTTCCTCCCAACTGTGGTTGCTGTGTTATCTGGTAGAAGTCTTCAATTAATCATCCTTGCCTGCTGTAGTAATTCCTTCAGTGTGGTGTGTTAGGTTTTTTATTTTGAATTAACTTTACTTTGGGTGCAGACTGCATTTGCTCCCTCTGTAAACTGTTTTCTTTAAGAGTTTGATATCCTGCTGGGGATAATTGGACATTGGGACCAAGTTAGAGGCATTGAAGGGACTTTCTTCTATTTTTATTACTTGGTTATTTTTGTGTCACGCCCCGGGTCATCACAGAACCTGTCTAGGATGATTGTAAATTGTGACTGTCGTAAAACAGGTCGCCCAAGTGAATGACTTGATTTCATGACCTTTTTCCTGGTGGTTATTAAGCAAGATACCACAGGCATTAAGCAAGCTTTGGGGGCATTTTAGTTGAAAACTGGAAATAAATTTCAGGTTTCTGCAAAACGAAGTAGTCTATCGACTTACCACAGTTCATTTAGTGACTCTTCAAAGTTACAACGGCACTGAAAAAGGTAACTTACGACCATTTTTCACACGTATGACCTTAGCAGCATCCCCATGGTCATGTGATTCAAAATTCAGATGCTTGACAACTGATTCACATTTACGACGGTTGCAGTGTCCCGGGATCAAGCAAATGGGGAAGCCAGATTCACTTAACAACCGGGTTACCAACGTATCAGCAGCAGTGATTCACTTAACAACGATGACAAGAAGGGACAAAACCCACTCCACAAATGTCTCGCTTAGCAACGGTAATGTTGGGCTCAGTTTGTGTTTTGGTGGGATCCCGTAAGGTAACTTAGCAACCAACTTCAAAAGGTCCCTCAGCAGCCCGTCATAAGTTGAGGACTACCTACATTGCTGTGTTTGCGTTACAGGCTGGAACTAAAATCCACTTTCTGGTGGCTTAATCAGATGTCCTGTTCACATAATGTGTTAAGAGAGTGGCTAAAATTCTCAACTGCGATTGCTGCAGTTTGCAAACTTTTGCTGAAATTCGAGACAGGAGAATAACAAGGGAAATGATAATGTATGGTGTAGTCCTTGGCGTGCAAACACATTCGAACCCCAGATTTCTGTTGCTAAGTGAGACAGTTGTGAAGTGAGTTTTGCCCCTAACCCTAACCCTTTCTGGCCACGGTTGTTAAGTGAATGATTGCAGTTGTTAAGTTAGTTGTGAATAGAATAAAACAGAATAAAATAGAATCTTTATTTAGAACAGAATAGAATAGAATCTTTATTGAGAATAGAATACAATAGAGTCTTTATTTAGAGTAGAATAGAATAGAATCTTTATTGAGAATAGAATAGAATAAGGAATAGAATAGAATAGAATAGAATAGAATAGAATAGAATAGAATAGA